GTTATACCATAACAAGAAAACCATTGCATTAAAATGATGGAGTCGGGGCTACGTAGATGTTTCCGAAACTTGGACTGCTTGCCAACCAATCGTGAAAACCAACATTTCAAAAGCATGTAGAATACACTGTCCAAATGTATTTCAGACAGTGTTTCTATGATTTTAATTTCCTCTGTTCTTTTGTTTAAGACTATGATCTCTCCCTCTTCTCCTCCTCCCCAACTCCTTCTGTCTTCCCTCTCCTCCCCACCTCTCTTTAGTTATACTGACAGCAAAAGAATCATCTCTGAGTATTGCTTTGCCCGAATCATCTCTGTAAACATATCATGTAATGATTTTGTCTTGAAATGTAGGTAATTTCACAAGGCCAACAATCCAGTACCATACTTGTTTCTTATTTATTTCTCTTTGTTAATTGTTACCACATATTTTTGTGTTCTTGGGCTCTCCTTACACATATGCCCAAATGCTCAGGTCATTTATGATTATGAGTAAAAGAATCTTTCACTCACAGAAGGAACAAGTAGCCAGGTTCTGTTTTGCCATCCATTCACAGATATTACATGTATATGGGGATCTAACTTAGCCTCAATTAGCCAGGTTTTAGCATTCTACCTAATTAAGCTGTTGTGTGATGGATACAAATACTGACCTTAATGAATGCATAATTCACTGCAGATGGATCATAATCTCAAATGGTTACAATTCAAGCTGAAAGAAAAAAGAAAATGAAGGCAAAAAATGTTACCCCGAAGCCATGTGTTCAGATACTCTTATATATGTCAGGTCCGGACATTTTCTGTGTGAAGCTGACTTCATTTAGTTTTTGTATTATAGTAAAATGCTACATTAATTTTAATTTTTTTTACAAACCTAGGGCTTCAAGAGGTGTGATCTATTTGTAGTCATAAAAGAAAACAGGGAAAGTTAAGGTTTAAATTGAGATCTGTTTGACCCGTAAAGTAAAGCCCCACAGAGCACAATGGGGCACAGAATGTGGAACTGCAGGCCAGAGTGACACTGTAATAGCGAAAGTCTACCTGACTGTGTCAACTGATCAGAGGAAGAGATAGCTATTCGCCAGAGCACAGTCGCCAGCACATGTCCTGAAAAAAAGCACATGTTCCACTTGCTCTTCGTGAAAGCCAATTGTAAGACACTGGAAAGTTAAACCCCGGTCAAAGTGTGCTTCCATCATCAAAGAAGTTTGATTTGTTGAAAGTTTGGGACACATAATGAGAACTATATGGTCATAGTAAATGTTTTAGATAGTAACAGTAGTGTAGTAGGAAATAGTTACAAAGAGGAGAGATGGGAAGAGGCAGGAAGAAGAAGTCAACATATATCTGGCAAGAGAAAGTAGAATCTTGGTGGCAGTGGGACTGGCAATGACACAAATATCAAAAGAGACCATCACCCACACTGGAAAATATTCAGTTAGATGTGGTGGTAGAATGAATGAGACGGATGAGCAAGAAAGATAAGTGGGCAGAAGTTCCCCTAGGTAATAATCAGGGCATGATTAAGACAAGGCTGGTTAACTTGTCTGACTTAAGAAAGCAGAGTCTGATGCACATAGCAGGGGAAGGTTGAGGCTGGTACACACAGCTGGGGGCAGGGCTGAGGCTGGCACACACAGCTGAGGGCAGGGCTAAGACTGGCACACACAGTGGGGCCAGGACTAAGGCTGGTTCACACAGCAGGGGCAAGGCTAAGGCTGTTGCACACAGTGGGGCAGGGAGGGGCTGGTGTGCCAGGTTGTATAACACTCTTGCTGCTGGAACATAAGGGTGATAACTCTGGCTGACTGTGGCTTCACCTCTTAAAAGCTAAAAATTACTCTGTCGTCACATTCCTGGAGATAATCTATTTCAAGCACATAGTGACTTTTTCAGCGGGGGATGGGAGAGCAAAATGAAAGATAGCACAAAAACAGAACCAGAAGATTCTTTGGAAATTGTTATGGAACTTTCTGCGTTCATAGAAGGTGGAGATTAGTGGGTGTTTCTTCTGTAAAATTCATTTTGAAAAACTAATACGTATCATACACTAATTTCAAGAGTGGAAGACTGAAAGATGGAAAAAGTGTTAAGAGTCAGCAATTCCAAAACATCTGAAATCCATGGCAAGAAAATCTCGGTTATCTAAAATAACATCTGGAAAGCAAAATCAGCAAGGAAAATGGGAAATTTTTCCTCCCAGTCTTGATGCCAGGAAGAAGGTATTATTCTTTTATGGGAGCGGTGTGCTTCTGGAAATAGGTTCCAAAAGGATGGAAAAGATCACAAACATCACAAGGAGGAAAAGATAATAAAATGGTGGAAGAATTTAAATGGTATGGTTGCAACATCAATCTGCACTGTATGTAGAGAAGGAAGAAAATATATTTGAGATGTCAAGTGCATTTTAAAATATATTGCCTTTGGAAGCAAATTAAATTGAAATGGACAAATATCTTTACTGAATGTCAGTGTCTATGTTAAATTTTCATAGGTTCTAATTAAGATGTAACAGCAAAGAATAGTGAATGTCTATAGACTGTGTGTAGGAAGCTGAAGGAGGAAGAACACTGTGAGTTCCAGACCAGCTTAGCCTATTAGACAAAATAATGCCACATAATGAAACAAATCAAATGATTAGAAATGTGAACTATAATTGAGGAGTCATATAAAAAGTTTTCCCAAATAGTTTCCCTTGCCGTCTCCCTGATACCAACTTGTCCATAGATGTGATATGTTACTTACTAGAACCTTTTAAAGATTTTTTCCTCCTGAAAGTAACTTATAAAAATACTTTCTACTGGACATTTCCCCAGTGCCTGATTTCTCTTTAAACTTATAATGGCTTGTTATAAGTATGGTATCTCTTATTTTGCTCTCCTCAATTCTTCCCCCTACACAATCTTCTTGTTACCTTATGTCCTCCTCACCCCTCCTATTCTCCCCTTCTCATTCTCCTAGCTCCCTCTCCCCTCCCTCCATGCTCCCAATTTGCTCAGGAGATCTTGTCCCTTTCCCCTTCTCCAGGAGACCATGTATGTCTCTCTTAGGGTCCTTCTTGTTTACTAGCTTCTCTGGCAGTACAGATTGTAAGCTGGTAATCCTTTATTCTATATCTAAAATCCACAGATGAGTGAGTACCTACCATGTTTGTCTTTTTGTGACTGGGTTACCTCGCTCAGAATGGTTTCTTCTAGTTCCATCCATTTGCCTGTGAATTTCAAGATTCCATTTTTTCTGCTGAGTAGTACTCCATTGTGTAAATGTACCACATTTTTTCTACCCATTCTTCAGTTGAGGGGCATCTAGGTTGCTTCCACATTCTGGCTATTACAAATAATGCTGCTATGAACATGGCTGAACAGGTTGTATGAATGTGCTTCTTTTGGGTATATGCCTAAGAGTGAAATAGCTGGATCTTGTGGTAGACTGATTCCCATTTTCCTGAGGAACTGCCATACTGATTTCCAAAGTGGCTGTACGAGTTGGCACTCCCACCAGTAGTGGAGGAGTGTTCCCCTTTCTCCATGTCCTCTCCATCATAATTTATGGATGACACCAACTAACCATCTAAGCAACAGTAGAGAGGCTACCTTAAATGCACTCCCCTGATAATAAGATTGATGACTAACTTGTACGCCATCCTAGAGCCTTCATCCGCAGCTGATGGAAGTAGAAGCAGATACCCACAGCTAAACACTAAACTGAACTGGAATCCAGTTGCAGAGATGGAGTGATGAGAAAGGGGTCCAGACCAGGCTGGTGAAACCCACAGAAACAGCTAACCTGAATAAGGGGGTGCTCTTGGTCCTCAGACTGATCACTGGGAAACCATCATGGAACTTATCCAGATCCCATGAATGTGGGTGTCAATGAGGAGGCCTGGGAAATCTATGGGCCTCTTGTAGTAGATCAGTAATTATCCATAGCATAGCAATGTACTTTGGAATCCTATTTCACATAGAGGGATACTCCCTCAGCCTAGACACACTGGGGAGGGCCTAGGCCTTGCTCCAAAGGATATGACAGACTCTGAAGACCCTCCATGAAAGGTGTCACCCTCTCTGGGGAGCAGAAATGGTATGGGATAGGTAGAGTGTTAGTGGAGGTGCAGGGGAGGAGGGGAGGGAGAGGGAACTGGGATTGACATGTAAAACAATCTTGTTTCCAATTTAAATTTAAAAATGGAATAAAAACAAACAAAAAGCAGATTTTCCTACTCCTGGAATCTAGGGACCACACATATGCTATTGTCAAATATTTATGACTTTGGATCTATATTCAATGAACAAGCTGAGATTTTGGTTGTCTTGAAAACAACCAACAGGGCTAAGAAGTAACCATACAAAATGTGTAAGACATGGAACATGTCCAATTGTTTGAGCAGAATACATGTAAAACATGAAGATACAATGAATGAAATACGATGAAAAATCCCGGTAGAACCTACCAAGACACATGATACTGTTGTCATATTTTAAATTTTATTGTATGTGTATGAGTGGTTTGTCTGCATGTAAATCTATGTACCATGCTCATGCCTCCTTTGTAGAGAGGCCAGAAGAGGACATGAGATCCCCTGGGACTGGAAGTGTAAGCTACATGTGGGCTCTGGAACTTGAACATGGGTTTTCAGGAAGAGCATACAGTACCCTTAAACACTGAGCTTTCTCTCCAGCCCCTGTTGTCACCTTCTAAATCCAATTCATACCTGCAATTTCCTTCTGGAGTCTTGAGATCAACCCTTTAATTTTTCCCTTTTTTTAAAATTAAAATAGAACTACATCATCTCCCTTCTCTTTCTTCCTTCCAACCCTTCCCATATACTTCACCTACTGTTCTCTCTCTGAAGTTCAATATATGTTGCTAAACACATTATATATAACTTCAGTTCATATACTATTAATTGTGTGTATATTGTTTTAAGGCTGACCACTTGGCACTGGATAACCAGTTTCAGAGGAATGGGAAGTTAGCAGTGCAATTTTGTCTTCTAGAGATTTTGGAGGTGCTATACCCATGAAATATCACCATCACCATGTCTGCCTAAACAAGCCATGGACAGGGATGACACCAATAAACATCCTGACATGAAAGGGGTAAATCTCATGAAGCCTTCAGCCGAGACAAAGAACTGCAAGCAATTAAGGAATGCAAAGAGAGTAAGAAATAATCTTCATTTCTATTACAAGATTTTTTGGCCTGAGACTCTTTCTTCCTGAACAATGGAATGCTAAAACTCATTCTCTACTTCATTCATGTACTACAATGACTCATCAATCCCATTTCTTTGGGCTGACTTTTATCATGATTTCTGGGGGACAAATAAGGTTTTTGATAAACCCTGAGGAAATTATAATGTAACAGGCTTTATTACTCATGGACAGCTTTAGTCTCAGAATGCAATTGGAATGATGGGAGATGAGGCCACATTGCTTTGTTTGTTGTTGTTGTTGTTGTTGTTGTTGTTTTGGCTGATAAACAGTCTTGTCCAAAACTTCCATTTATCTCAGTAATCTCTGGGCAACTTATTTTCAATTCTGTACCCTGTACCAATAATCTACCACCTCAACAATTTCCACAATGATAACCATTGTCAAATGTGAACCTAAAACTGGGGAATTTCCAAATGAACACCAGAGCTGTATGCTTTTACAAATACAACTTCATGTAAGTACTTGCTGCCACCTTCTACGTTATATATCATAAGTGTGTAACTAAATCTGAGTTCCTAAATATACCTGCAAAACTGCTCATTTCCATCCTTTCTTTCAACCATCCAGTAAAATTTTAAAATCTGCTAAAGTTGTTTAGGCTTAATTTTCATTTTAAGATAACCTTAGAGCTCCTGGAATGGTGCTAGGGCCCTCCAGGAGTAGGATGTGTTTCTGGTAGCCTTTTTCATAGTTCCATGATCTTCTGAAGCAGTCAAAAACACCCTTGTGGTTTAACTGAGCAGCCATAAGACCCCTAAAGCACTTATGAAGTTGCTGGTGCCTATTCACAGTTCTGACTTCTTGTCCCTGACCATCCCTGCTGAAGATTCCAGACTGAATTACAACATGCGAGAAGAGAGAAATCATTCACTACTGCCAACTCAAATTGGAATTGATTTTCTATTTCTCTGCCTCAAAACTTGAACAAATTTTTTTAGATGGAAAGGTAACATCAACACATGAAAGATTTTTCTGTTTTGCTTTTTAGGCATTTTTATTTTTGAGATTATAATATAATTACATTACTCCTTCCCCCTTGCTTCTCTTAAACTCTCTTCTCCCTCTCCTACAAATTTATCAATTCTTTTGTCACTAGTGCTACTGAATGGAAGCTTTTGATTTGAAAATTTGGTCATGGGAGTGTACTTGCTATGTAACTTCTGAGCATAGAAACATAGCAATTGAATAGAAAAATCCCTAAAGCCTTCTCAATGCGACGCTATCTGCCTCGAATTATTACCCCTCCTCTCCAGTTAATCTTCTCTACCAGATCCTTCTGTTTTTTAGATACTGTTCCGAACATTATCCATAGATTGTAAGATTTTAACATCTCTCCAAAGTGACAGCCTATCCTGTGCAAGAATGTGCTGTCCCTGGTGTTAGACAATGTGACTAGGGTCTCCTATAGCAAAGATCAGTTCAAGAAAGATAATAATGACAAGTGATCAATGACAGAGGGACTTTTCATGAATAAAGTAAGACTGTCTGAGTCTCAGTTGTTTCCATCACAGCTTCTGGGTTAACCAGAGTTGTCACCATTAACACTGGTCATATTAATATCAATAGAGTTCTAAGTCTTTCTCCAATTTGTTCACAAGAGAACTACAAATATAGAGCTCTCCCTAATTTCTTACTCATTAATATCACATTGATTTCATGAAACATGCCATGGATGGTGTATTCATGCCATGGACATCAATCAGCAAATGAACCTAATTAGGACATTTTGTTTTTTGAGAATCTGACTAGCAGATTCCTGTAACAAAAATGTTCATCAGAATGTGAGGTAAGTCTTATCTAACACAGTCTTCCCTTGAAAGGGCAGCAGAGCAACATCATTGCCCCAAAGATGCTAAATATCCTTCCCACCAGGATATTGAAAAACATTACCTGAGAACTTGTAAATCATTACTTCGGGTTTGAGTGAGTATTAACCCTTCCTAAGAATTCTTAGACATGTTGAAGAACTTTGGTAGTGCAACACAATGTGCACTACCAGTGTGCAACAATATATGGTTCTTCAATATGTGTAAGACGCCTTAGGAGGGGTTAATACTGGGCACAAACACCAGGTAATGACTTACAAGTTCTCAGGTAATATCATGTGAGTGTCCTTCAATAAGGTACTCCCCTTTCTCTCTCATGTGTTTTGACAGGAAAGATGATGCCAAAATATGAATTTTGATTTTAAAATAGGAGAGAATTAAGTACATACCAAAACTAGCAGTGAGGGAAAGAGAGAAGATACAAGAGAGAGCAAAAAGTAATCAAACTAAGTCCTTGGAAAGATGGCAGGAAACGAAACCTAACATATGAGCAATTTGATTACTTTGAGCAAGAATGTTCTTAATATTTTTTTACAAAGGTGTCTATCTTAATTAGAGTTATCATTGCTGTGATGAAACCCCCTGACAAAAACAACTTGGGAAGGAAAGGATTTATTTGGCTTATACTTCCATAGCACTGTTCATTGTTGAAGGAAGTCAGGACAGTAACTCAGACAGGGCAGGAACCTAGAGGCAGGAGCTGATGCAGAGGGCATGGAAGAGTGCTGCTTATTGGCTTGCTCCTCATAGCTTGCTCAGTCTGCTTTCTTATAGATCCAAGGACTATCAGCTCAGGAATGGCACCACTCACCATCAATCACTAAGAAAATGCCCTAAGCTAGATCTTTTGAAGGCATTTTCTTAATTGAAGTGCCTTCCTCTCAGATGACTTTAGCTTGAGTCAAGTATAAACTATCTAGCATAATGTTTCACTTTCCACAAATTTTCCCTGTCTCAATCTGCACCTACACTATAAATATTAAAAGAGCAAATAAGATACTCATCAATATCTATGAACAAATGACATGTCAAATACTCAGGTCTCATAAAAATATAGTTAGGTTTACAAAGAAATCAGGGTTTTCTGTTACAGATTTTACTAATGAAGTAAATATGACAAGTTATCTCCTCATTAGTTGAAGGAACAATAAATAAAGCTCAAACATTGGTATTGGTCAATAATTCACTGTAAGAATATAACACACGTTAATTTATTTAGGGTTCAAATGGCAGATTATAGTTACTATTACCTATATTTTCTGAAGTTCAAAAATATTTACATCAATCACTCAAGATGTGTTATTTTCTATGATTTATCTTTAATATTTCAGAGATATTCCTTGGTGTAATGGACACTTCACAAACATATCATACTTGGCTGTGCATATTACTTACAGAATTGGAAATACTAATGAAATACTTAAAATTTTGTATAAAATGGAAAGAACAGGAGACTGACAAGCAATGGTTTGTCAATGGAAATCATTATAGAAAGTTAGAAACATGATATCACAAAGAATATTGTTAAATGACATTGAAAAATATGGTTTAATACTTGCATCAGTATGGAAAGTAGAAAAAAGCAATAGAGATAAGAACTTTCCCAGAACTTTTGAAATCATTTGGTTTGAAGACCACCATTTAAGGATACAAAATAATCAGGGATTTTAGCAAGCTTCATGTTAACCCCAGTCTTTAAAATGTACCGATTAGGTGAATAATCCTCCACTGTAAAGACTACTAGAAATCTGAAGCCTAGTTACTTAGTTCCTTTTCCTAGGTCTGCTGATTTTGTTAAAATTATGAGAGCATGTTATTAATCATGGTTAGCCACCTGGATGTGAGATCAGCCTTTATAAGCACACTACCCTACCTTTTCCCATGTTGTTATGCAACCATGGAAAAATGGTAACTTGAGCAGAACATTTCTCTCTCTTTTCACAGCTCTACCAACCGTCCATAGATTATAATTTACCCCTCCCTTTTACAAAACTTTTTCCACACTCCAACTATACATGATCTTGAAGAAATATTTTTCTAGTTTTGAGAACATGACATTAAATCTACAAATACTGACTTCATTGCAAATGTACTTTTTTAATCTTGGTAAGCTTTTTGCATTAACAGTGGAAAACTTTTTTGTCTCGCTTTAATTTACTGTTTACCGTCTGAATTAAACATGAACTGCTACCTTGGGGCTTACTGAACCTTGTAGTGAAATCCAAATCACTAAAGACATTCACTGAATTTTTTTCCCCATGTTCCAGGGCTATGGCCTCCAGCAGTTTTCCCTTGTTTAAAGCTTCCCCTTCAGTTAATCATGTCTACATAGAAAAGGAAAATAGCAGCCAGTACCACCGTGAAAAATTCTACCTGTTGAGGTCATTTGAATTTTGGATCAGCCTGAGGAATGCAGGTGGTGCTGTCACACTAAGAAATATATGTTATCCATAACATATATGTGCACGGAAAAGTATGTGTGCACAAAAGTGTGTATTATATATTTATACAAATATGTCCATATATAGACAAATATGTGTATGTTCCCCCACTGTTTTATTAAAACTGGTAATTCAACAGCATTCATCAAAGTCATATACTAATTGATCAAATGATGATATATGTGTCTATGCCTATGTGTGTGAATATAAATTATAATCAATTATAACTTACAAGGACTAAACCTATAAATCTAGTTTATAATAATCATGTACAGATGAGAGAATATTTTTCTTTATTAGTATAATTTTAACATAATTTCCTAAGATATCATTGTATGATGAGTATCTTATAAGTAAGTCAAGTGAATCTTAGAAAAACAGTGCAATTTTTAATGTAGGAAGAAATTAGCAAACGAGACACTTTCTGCAAATTAACATGGGGAAACTACATCAGTTTTAGAGGTTTATAAAGACACTTTCTGTCTGCTTTGTGTTAACGGAGGTCATAGCTTTGAACAATTTTATTTAAAGTATTTATACTCAGAACCGCATGGTTGAATCAATGTCTCTAAGAAGCAAACATGCCCACCCAGCTTTACCATTTCTAGTAGTGCTTCATTGCAGGTAATCCTGGTGAAATAACTTGATAAAGGGAATTAGTATCTGAATACTTCAAGAA